ATCACCCCGGGTTGATTGAGGAAGTCAACACATTGGGTGGTGTACTGGGCCAACTGCTTGTTCACCCGCGTGGGGCTGTTACCTAAGCCACGCTCACGCAGGAGCCGGATGACCCGCATATCACAGGCGTACCTTAGGAAATGCAAAATCCACACATTCATATATTTTAGATATTTGATTTGTAAAGTATTTGCTTATATATGTGATGATGGGCTAACAACTGGATGAGGAATGAAAGTGTACTTACTTCCGCGTGAGGATGACCTGAAACTCAGAGCGATGGCCCAGATCTAGCTGCTGCAGGACAGTCTGACTCCAGGACACATGCGAGGCTCTACACTTGGTACAGATGAGGGTTTCTGTGACCATGTTGTACGTTCTGTCAATGTCTAGAACCTGCCGTGACCTTGTCAGCTGATGTTGTCCACAGGCAGGATTGGGACAGAGAACCTTAACCCTCCACAGCTTGTACGGCATCCACAGCAGAAGAGAATGACAAAAGAATCTGTCTGGAGCTGGAGCCTGATTGTAAATAAGTGCTGGCTGTGGTGGGTAATACCAGAGCTGGAGGTTATCACGAAGCCCTGGCTTTCCCTTGGATCCCATTTTGAAAAGCCTTTTGCCAATCCACTTGTGATCCTCTGGTGGCAAGGTCTCCGACCACAAACGAGGAAGCGGAACTACAGATGGACCTTGCAATAATGCCCCAGAATGAGCAGTCTGTGAAGAAAAAAAAGACAAAACATTTAGTCAAGTAAGGTAATTTTATTTTAAGCACTTTATTTTTATCCATGATTACCTTCACATGAAATTATCATTGCAATAATAGTTTTCACTTAAATACCTTTAGTATTACAGTGATCATGACAATGAAACTGATAACTTTACATTACACACTGCTGTCATCCAAAAAAAAGTAACAAAATAATTATTCTGAAATCCTGTTTAATATATGAAATAAAACATTTCTGAGATTTTACAAACAATATCTCTTTATTTTGACACACGAATGTTAACATATATACATTGTTTATCATTAATAAATCAGTATCAAGTAAACTCAATTGACATTATGACAATAGTTTGATTGTTGTTGTTTTTTCTCAGCTTGAATGCGTTTTAAGAAATTACTGGTTATAAAAGTTATATTCACAATTTCAGGGCATGTGAACCTTTTCACATCTCTATTAAGTGAAAAGAACAAAATAGATACATTTCTTTCCAAAGTGTTAAGAATTGTGTCAGCTGTCTCCCGACTTTTTGGCGACTGATTTAATTACATTTTTAGACCAACAGAATAGGAAATTACTCAATAGAATAATTACTTACGGAGACAATACTGCATGGCTGAGCGGGACTGGACACATCTGCAGTGGCTCTGTGGACAGGGGCTAGAACTTGAGAATCTGGTGTCTGTACAATCATGAAGTAAAATATAATAGATTTTGT